CTATGCTACCAGAGCTCCTTCAGTATCAGTCTCAAATGTACGATATAATAGAAATCAACAATGTAAGTTGAATAAATAAATGAGTGAGTGATTAGTATTCATAGGATGCAAAATCTTCCAGTTACATCTCTAATAAGTAGTTTCCTCAAGCCATTCCTGGGAGTGAGGAAACTCACTACACCTGTAACTTCTATGCTAACATGCCAACATCAGGCAGTCCCCAAAAGTGAAACAAATAACTCTAACTCACTGCTGTCTAGTTGATTCAACTCATAGCGACCCCTCCTTTGGTTTCCGAGATGGTATCTCTATGGGGGTAAATTGCCCAATCTTCCTTCTGAGGAGTGGCTGGTGGGTTTGAACTGCCAACCCTATGGTTAGCAGTCAAATGCCTTAGGCATTGCATCACCAGAGCTCCCAAAACACATTGACTTAAATTGAGAAATTTTGACAATATATCTCATTTTGACATTTAATACTGCTTGACAATATTACACTTCCTTCATTTTCTTACTTTTCAAATTTACTATTTTACCTCTTTTCCTTTCTTGATAAGTATCCTAAAATTTCTATTTACTATCAGCTGATATTTCCCCTAATATTTTATTTTGAATACAGAAATAATCAGACAGGAAGTTACTCATCTTCTTACTATTAAATCCACCTACCTACTTATATGATCCAAATCCACTCTTATCCTTCCTGTTAATATGGTGTCCTTACTTTTATCAAAGGTTGACTTTTCTACTTGTGATCTGAATCCTGTGCTTCTTTCTTGTCAAGGAGTTTTGTTTCAACAATGGGTCCTTTCTATTCTGCATCAAAATTCTTTTCCACTAATGGAATTTCAATTAGAATACAAATATGATCTAACATTTTCTACCCTAAGCACAACACACATACTTGACACACATCTCCCCATAGCTGCTGCTCCATTTCTCTGATCTTTTTTATAGCTAATATTTCTTAGTGTTGTCTATAGATGCTAGTTCTCACTTTCTCACCACACATGCTCTCCTCCAACCCCTCTCCTTCTATATATTTTATTTAAACTTTTAGCAGCATTCAAAATAGTTTATCACTCTCTCCTTTTTAACACAACATCTAATGGAAATAAAAGTTACCTATTACTTCCTAACAAATCACCCTAAAATTCAGGGGCTTAAATTGACCATTTATTACTGCTCTTGAGTCTATGGATTAACTAAGTTGTTTCTATGGTTTCTTTTTTGTTCACTCATGCACTTATAATAGATGCTAGTAATGTAGGTGGCCCTGCTGATCTTGATTGGACTCTTACATGTCTGGAAGTTGGTTGATTGTAAGGTGATCTAGGATGGTCTCATCTGGGATGTTTCAAAACTGGATGCTCTGCAACTTCTGGCCAAATCTATTCTACTAGCTCTGTCCATCTAGAATGTGATTATTGAGGCAATTCTTGACAGTGTGTATACTTGCATACTAACAGAGAGAAAAACATTTTAACTTTTCTATTTCTCTTCAATCCTGCAAATCATATCATTTTGTTTCCAGATACAATGGAAATGAATAAGTACTTACTGCAGTGATTTTTTTCATTTTGGAGTTTCTTATTTTGCACCAAGTCAAAACCAGGATAGAAAAACATATAAATATGCTTATTTTCTGTGTGGAGAATAGTGTGGAAAGAGATACACTTTATGATAAATATATGTGCAAAAACAGTCAACGTTTTTAGGGAAGTGAGAATGCTATCATAGATAAGCTCTGAATTATTTAACTTCTTTTCATATGTAAATAAAGTAAAGCCTGGCCTCTCTACCATCTGTGAGAGTTCCTGGAAAATGACTCATTCATTCAGCAAAGATATGAATCCATATTTGAATGTAAAAAAACTGTGAGCTGCATAGAATCCAGGATGCTGGGACCGGTAGGGACTCCTGCTCATCCAATGTTGAGAAGAGAAGTGGGGTCATTGAGAAGTTAACAGCTATGACAGAATTGGATGAGGAAACTATAAGGAAAAACTATAAGTTGAAGGAACAATTAATTTCCCTCCCCAATCAACCTTGTGGAATAGGCTAGTTTTGAATTTATTTATACATTAACTTTATCATTACTTACTGCTTACTATATGAATATATGATTATTGTTCTTTAAAAGTGGTTTGATTTAGTATGTAAAATTAAAGGTGAAAGGGTCTATAGAGATCATTTAGTTTAACAGCACTGTATAAAATAAAACATCAAAAAATATCTAAGACCCAGAGAGGTTGAGTGAATTGCCAATAGTCAACAGCCACAAGTCAACACAGGCTGTTTGTTGACACCAAATCCTCTGCTGGCATGGCACTTTCTTTAGCTCTGAGAACCATCCTATACTGACTTTAGCTTCTAAGAAATTTAGGGCCTAAGAAATTATCCTTTTTACTTTGCAGATTTGGTATTTATTATTCATCTGGGTGTTCCAGATAATATTTATGAGATTTTATATCCAGGAAATTAATATCTAAATGATTTTCATGTAAGTCACAAAACTAAATTCTATGTAATTTAAGGCAAATTCCATGGCTATGTTTTTCAGATTGACCTTTTCACATGATAACATTTCAACTGTGCAATTTTACTCGTTGTGTGACATATCTCAGCTCTGTAGGACAGAGTAATTGTGTTCTCCAAATTTGTGTGGAGGTTTTTGGAGGATAGTTTACTTGACCATTCTCTTGACCCACTCCCAAAACTATGGGACAATATTACTAGGAAAGTTTGATACCCTTCTCTTCATTAATTGGAGCATCATTTTTTGTTCTCATAAATGGAGAAATCTACTACATAAAAACAATGAACTGCTTTATTTGCATTTCCTTGCTCTAAATGCTGGGAAAATTAAGAAATTATTGAAATTCAAATTTTCTTTCACTTACCTAATATGAATACATGCTTAAATATTTACCAAATGTTAGCTTGTCCGTTAAGGGAAACAATGATACCAACTATGTAAAACAATGGTCAATTGCTTTATATTATTCTGGTTGTTGTTAGGTGCTGTCTAGTCATCTCTGACTCATAGAGACCCTAGATTAGATTATTAATATAATACTATTTGGAATTGAGTATATGAATATTTTGGTAGCAGTTAAACTTTGCTTATTATCTTTTTTTTTTTAACTGAAATTAAAATTTGTCTGTATATATTGCTTGAAAATCAAAGAGTTTATAGTACCCAGGATTCTTAATGCTATAGATACAGAAACTTTTCAGGGCGGCAGTATGGTGAGTATTTAAGAGTATTCAAGAGTGAGAACACTGGAGTTCGATGGCAGTATTTGAAACCCAGTGCTGCCATTGTTACCCAAGTGACTCTACGCAAATTCCTTAATCTCTGTTTCCTAACTTGTAAAATGGAGGCTAATAATTCCTACACAGTAGGATTGAGATAAAATAAATATTGCACTTACAAAGTACTTCAAAAACTGCCATTGAGTCGATTGTGACTCATAGCTACCCTCATTGGGTTTCCTAGCCTGTAAAATCTTTATGGAAGCATCATCTTTCTTCTGTGGAGTGTCAGGTGGGTTCCAACCACTGACCTTTTGGTTAGTGGCCAAATGTCTTAATTACTATACCTCTAGAGCTTGTTACAAACTACCTGGTACTTAACAAATATTTAGTTCATTTTCCTGAATATAGGGCTAATGGCATACTAACTTACCTAGTATATCCCTTGAAAATTAAAATTTTTTTTTTTACTGTGTGTGTGCGCTTAAGTCAAAACATCACATCTATTCTAGCAGCTTATTAAATTATCATATTATAATTTACATTTTTTCTTTTTAAAAATATACTTGAAAGGTAATAATATCTGGTTAGTTGGAGTTAGGCAGAGAAGATGGGATAGTTATGGAACACATTGTCTGTTAATGTATTTTTAAGGTATAAAAATACTTTGCAAATTTTAAATTGCTCTGATGTAAAGAAAAATTTGTCACTTTAATTTTTGGCTATGGTGTATACTTGCATATTAGGGAAGATTTAATATAATAACACTCAGGGGAAAATCGTGAGCCTTTGAAATGTATCAGAAAGATTACAGCATCTTCAAAGGGAAACTAGGCATTGACTAATTCTCCTATTCTTGGTTTTCTACATCTCAATGGTTTGAATCTTTCATTGTTTTTGAGCTATGTCGCAACTCTGCAGATAATTGAGAGTAATGAAAATGATTCTTGTCCATAGACAGGCAAATTAATTCTGTCAGGAAGGACAATTGATTTTCCTCACAACCAACCCTATGGAGGAAGCCAGTTTTGAATTTACTTGTAAATCAGTTTTATCATTTTTAGAGCTTATTATGTGTGTGTTTGTATATTCATATAAATATATATTATATGTGTGTATATGCAATACATATATATGTATTATATGTGTGTATACACACGTACAAACACTCATGCATACATAAATTATAAAATACTTTTATGTGTATTGTATATATGATGTAAAGACAATTCTTAGAATATATACATAATCTATATATATTATATATGTGCAATTCTTTTAATTGGTCTTTCAACTTACTGGTTTCCTCCTTTATTAACAAGTTAACTAAAATCCTTGACATATGTTCATTATTCATCTATGTGCAAGTCATGATTATGCTCTTCTAAAAATTGTATTATAATAAGCCCAACTAAGAGTACATTTGCTAAATTAATAAAAAGAAGAAATTTTAAAAAGACACTGAAAACTGTTAAGACCATGTTTTTCTGCTAAATGTCAAAAAACATTTTACTCTACATTCTTACTTTTCTCCAAGTTACAAGATAAGTTATACCTATTTCCAGGAAAGCTATAACAATTAGTTTTTTGTTTTTAATTCAATGCCAATGTGCACACTATGTCACACTGAAATAAATGGATACCAATAAATTTAAGATTAACATTTTAAATTCTTTAATGAAAACTTAAAGGCAAAAGCAACCAGGCAGCACACATACACCTTTATTGAAGACTGATGCTTGTTTAGTTAGTGGGTCTGTAGTTCACGTGGATTTCTGGTTTCATGTCATAGACCATGTTCAGAAGCTGGTTCATCACACTTTCTGTGAATTTCTTGTAGCTTCCCTTCAGTTCTTGTATCTTCTCTAGTGTTTGTGTTTCTATTTCTTCTGCGAGATTACTCTGAGAGCCCATTATCTAACAAAACAAAACAGGTAGAATTCACTACACCGCACATTGTATTAATGAGCCCCGGTGACACAATGGTTAAACACACCAGTGGCTCCCGGGAAGGAAAAAAAAATCAGGCAATCAGTTTCCATAAAGATTTCAGCCTAGGAAATCCTGTGGGCCACTTCTGCTCTGTCCTCTGTGATCCCTATGAATCAGAATCAACTCAACTGCATGTGCAACAGCAACACATGCCGTATAAAAATTTAATTATTTCTTTAAGTTAAATTTGCTTTGGTCTGTTTGTCAATCATTATTCAATGGTGCACATATTGTATTTTACCAGAATATTCTCAGAGAATGAATAAGATCGTTAATACTGTGAGTGGGATGGATAAGCTTTTTTTAAAAAATGGAAGCTGTCAGTGGCCTGTTATTTCCATTTCTAAGTTGATTTAGTATTAGAGATTAAATTAAATTAAATTAAAGCACTTGGGGTTGTGGAAGGCTGTGGTCTGCACTGGGAGCTCTAACTCCATTTTGAAGCTTGGCATAAGTTTCAGATGCCATGTAGGTTCTTTCTGACCATCAAACCAGCATTGTGGCTGTGCACAGACAAATTCTAGGACAAACCTCAAAAAAACAAAACCAAGCTCACTGCCATTAAGTGGATTCTGACTCATAGTGACCCCTGCTTGGTTTCCCAAGTGAGATCTCTGCATAAGTAGATTGCTCAGTCTTCCTTCCAAGGAGTGACTGGTAGGTTTGAACCACCAGCCGACTGGTTAGCAGTCAAAGGCCTTAGGCACTACACCACCAGAGCTCCCAGGACAAACCTAGAGAGGGACAGTTTGCCTTCAAGAGGAGTATGGTTTAAAATAGATTATGTTCACACTAAGAACTAGAGAACTTTCTTGGGTGTGTTCTTTTCTGATTTAAATTAAGGTTGGGGTCTTGGTGGTGTTTGGCAGCCATGTTTTGTCGAAAATAGGCTGCATGGTCATGAGTCACAGCCTGTCTGGACCACCCCTTAGCCAGGTAGTCAAGTTCCAGAACCAATCCTGCAATCCTTTCCTATCTTCAGTGCCCAATCATGGTCTTTCCCCTTTTCTGTAGTCCTGCCTGCAACAGTGACAGATTGATCTGCCACCAATCATGATTTTGTGATGATTCTTTTTTTCAATCATATATAATTAAACGCATGGCCGTGACTCAGCAGGCTCCATTCAGCTTTCTGTACTGTGTACATGCTGATGGTTTCCCTCATCCTGGATGATTGTCTTTGTTTTGTCTTTGTCCTGTCCATTAATAAGTGTATTGAACCTCTTTGAATCTGGGGTCTCTTTTCCCCTTTTATAACTTTCACATAGTACAAATTGAATACAAGTTTATAACCATTATGCCATGTTCTAATGATTTTTTAGTTCATGTTTTGATGCATTTATAATAACATCCATTTAGTTTCAATATCTTTCCTATTTACTTCATGAATTACAAATCTAGCAAATAAAGTTGAAAGTAGCAGTAAATCTATTTTTTGCTAGTTTTTAAAGAGTAAATAACTGATTGGTCTGTTTTTAAAATTCATTATTTGAACTGATTATATCAATATACTATTTCCCCCTCCCCCCCAAAAAATGCATAGCTGCTATATGCCTAGTAAGATACTTTTACATATACAGACATGTCTTTTGGGACAATAAATATAACATTAAAAATTTTAGTGTACATTGAATTTGTCCTAAATTGAATTATAATTTTAGACAGTTTAATATTTCTTTTGGATTGCTCTTTAATTGCTAGTGATTGCCAATATTTTTCCTTGTCTTCTCTGTTTCTCTGAGTGAAGGTCATCTATCAAGTTTGACCAAAATGTTTCACCAAGGAAGTTAAGGATGTACAGGAATTTTGCAGTGAAACTCTTTGTAAAGTTATCCTTTGTTAAAGCAAACAATCAGCTCCAAATTTACCTCCTTTGTAAACTTGTTTCTTAAAAGGCACTGCTAAGGCCAGACAAATGGTTATTTGTATATTTTTCTCTTCTGTGACCATATAGAGAGGACATGCATTTCATTTAATCCAGGAGGCTCCACTAATGATTGATTTCACCTTCAGGGCTGTTACACTATTCTAAATTCTACAATCCACTTGATCTTTCTAGGTCCTAAGCTTGAAATCTAATGCGATTGAGGTTATTGGGTTCAAGTTCTCTCCTGTTTATAGCCCAGATGATAGGGCTTCCCACTTCAAAGAAAATAATTTTGAGAACATATAGCTTCTAAGCCATGAAATAACTTTTACAAGATAACATTTTGGTAAATGGGTATTCAAGAAACAGAAATATATGGATTGAATTTCCCTTGGTAAGATGTTTAAAAGTATAAGTGAACTACTTATCAAGATGTTGTTGTTGTTATGTGCCATGGAGTCGGATCTGACTCATAGCAATACCTCCTTAGGTTTCCGAGGCAGTATGACTATGGAAGTAGATTGATTGCCCCATCTTCCTTCCCAGGAGTGGCTGGTGGGTTTGAACCACCAACCTTCCAATTGACAGTCAAGTGCCTTAGGCACTATGCTACCAGAGCTTTACCAAACTCAAAAATCTTGGAGGTTCTACCAAATTTTTATTTTTCCCTCCTAGACCCAGTGTCTTCAGTGGTTGAAAAACTAGATGATAAATTGACTTATTTTTCTTTGGAGCACTGTTTTATTAATAATTAAATAATTATTAATAGGCTAATTGAAGGAGGTCTGGTAGCATAGTGCCTAAGGCACTTGACTGTGAAGCAGAAGGCTGGCAGTTCAAACCCACCAGCCACTCCTCAGAAGGAAGGTTGGGCAATCTACTTCTGTAGTGATACCGCCTCGGAAACCCAAGGAGAGTCGCTATGAGTATGGTCCTACTCGCTGGCACATAACAACAACAAGAACAACAATTTAAGAAGCTTTGTGCGTGACTTTGGAAAAGTTCATCTCAAACTCAGATTCTTTATATTTAAAACAGGGATAACATTGTTGTATAAAAGACCAGATTCATGAATGTAAAGTGTCTAGAGTGGTGGGATCCCAGAGAAATACAGGCAATCATTGGGTTATGAAAGAGATCCATTCCTAAGTGTGTTTTTAAGTCAAATTGGTAAGTAAATTGAAACAGGTGCACATGGTTCTTGGCAATCTACTTCTGTAAAGATTTACTGCTTTGGAAACCCAAAGGGGGTCACACTGAGTTGGAATCCACTCGATGGCAGTGAGTTTTGTGTGTGTGTGTGCAAGAAAAAGGCACTCTGGAGGCATAGTGGTTAAATCATTCACCTGCTAACTGAAAGACTGTTGGTTTGAACCCACCAGCTGCTCTGCAGGAGAAAAATGAGGTAGTCTGTTTCCATAAATATTTAAAAGCTTGGAAACGCTGTGGCACAGTTTTACTCTTTCCTGAGGATCACTATGAGTTGGAATGTTCCCATAAAGACTGAGTAAAACTGACCCATAGAGTTTCCAAGGCTGTAAATCTTTACGGAAGTAGACTGCCTCATCTTTCTCCCACAGCACGGCTGGTGGGTTAGAACTGTGACCTTTTGGTTACCAGCCAAATGCTTTAACCAGTACACCCCCAGTGCTCCTGTAGCACTGACAAGAGGCAGAAAACTGGCTTCTTTGGTCTCCTCTAAGACCTCATCTTGCCCTGGGTTATTGATGATAAGATTGAACTGGAATAGCAATATGCCTGCCTATGGTAGTCATGCCAAGGAAGGAAGATTGGTGTCAGTGGTTTTACAGTATGCTTGAAGTAGTGGAGACCTAGACATGTGTACTTTGTGAGCTTTTGATCAAATAGCTGTCAAATTGACTTAGAGCACTGATTATGAGAGCAGTGAGGAGTTTTAATTATTGTCCAAAGCAGACAGCAACTATTCTGAACCAGCTGTAAATCTTCTAAGATTCTTCTGGAGAAATATTTCAAGATTTAATCCAACCATTTCCTGAAAGTATATTCAGTTTTGTTATTACATAAAAGTAGAAGTAAATTTCATACCAACAGTAGCAGCCTACATAGGATAATCAAACATGGTTAGGGTCAAGGATGCTTATTTTCTCAGGTCCTAGTATGCCATGGTTATGATAGCCTCAACAGGAAAGATAAAGGCCAGAAGAAATGTTTAGGTACTCATTCTTTCAACAAATATTTATAGAGCACCTACTATAGACTAGACTCTGTTCTATTGTCTAGGATAACAACAGAGAACATAACAAAGAGCCTGCCCTTTTGGTGCTTAGATGCAAAAAGGAAAGGTGAGCAATAAGCAAGAAATGTAAATATATATTATTGTATCAGATAGTGATAAATGTTCTGAAGAAAGAGTAAGGACTATAATGGGCTATTATTGTCCTTTATTTATAAAAGATACAATTTTAGGCAAGGTGATCAATAGAAGTTGTTGATAATTGAATAGAGATGTATGTGTCTTAGAGAAGAGGATTCCAGGGAGAAGGATAGCATGTGCAAAGGTCCCATGGTAGCAGCTTCATGCCTAGTCTGTTTGGGGAACAGTAAGAGGACCACTATATCCAGAATAGAATGAGTAAAGTCAAGAGTGGTAGGAAAACTGATTTGAGAGGTAGCCTAGAGAAGGGCCAGATATGCCATGTACAGACTTAGGATTTCTTTTTTCAAATATTGTTGTTGTTGTTAGGTTCTGTTGAGTCAATTCTCTCTTATATGACCCCATATGATAGAGTAGAACTGCCCAATAGGGTTTCCTAGGCTGTAGTCTTTACTACAGATCACCAGGTCTCTCTCCCGTGGTTCCATTGGGTAGGTTAGACCCACCAATTTTTCAGTTAGAGCTGAGCACTTAACTGTTGCACCACCAGAGCTCCATAGAAGACTTTATTCTTGCTGAGTGGTCAATTTTATTGTAGCAAGGACTCCATATTTGAAGTAGGACCTTCCTGGAAAAGTTTTCCTACCATGGGGTCCAATTTACCTGAGCTCTAGTAGCATAGTGCCTAAAGCACTTGACTGCTAACCAGAAGGCTGGTGGTTCAAACCCACCAGCCACTCCTCGGAAGGAAGGTGGGGCAATCTACTTCTGTAGTGATACCGCCTGGGGAACCCAAGGAGGAGTTGCTATGAGTCGGGTCTGACTCCATGGCACACAACAACACATGAGCTTATTTACTACCACACAGATAAAAGCTGTAAACAGAGAGATTTCAAACTGCTTGTGGTTCATTTTGCAATGTCTGACTTTGCATAGAATTTTATTTGTATTTTTAATGAGGTAAAAAGAAAATATCATATAAACTTAACTTATGACATTTGGAGTTTAATGATTTCTATTTTTTTTTTTTTTTTTTGGTTCATGGTATGGCATGGAAAGGAGGGTATTGACTCTGAAATTTCCATGCATTTGTTTTTACTGTAAACTTCAGATATTTAAAAACACTGGTGTAGGAAGAAGTGTTTCTTCACACTTTTATGAACCATTTCTTGAATGAAACTAATTAGTTGAAAAGAAAATAGTAAAGACTTAGCAGAAGGCTTTTCAGCAATATTTACTTTGGTCATTTATAAATCTGAGTCCACAAAAGAAAACGTGGCCTAACAAATACAGTGTATAACTTAGCGCCCAACATTTTTTATTTTCTCTGCTGGCAAATCTCTATAGACAAAACATGTTTTCTGGGATTCTCTTCATACTACAATGTCAATGATCTGTAATAGGAAAGATTCTTTAACCAATCCCTTCAATTTACATATTTAAGAATATAATTTTCAATATATATATTAGATAATAATTATTGTTTTCTTCTTTTTAGAACAAATAAAAAATACCTTGCAAGTAAAAATGTAAAACCAATAATTCTGTCATGTTTAAAATAGAGTATTTGGTTTGATGCTACCTTTGGTTGACCGATCTGTGCTCAGTCTCAGTGTTTCCCCTGTTCCCCCCACTCGGATATTCTGTATTACACTTTATGTATATTAACATTTTATAATTTATGTTGCATAAAAATCATTGGTGAGCTTGTTACTTACTTTAGATTGTTTCAGCTGAAACTCTTTATCTTTCTGCATTCGGAACTGGTCAATTTCTGCCATTGCTTCTTCCTTGGCTTGTTTTAATCTCTTCCCTTTTCCTGAAAATTACCAGTGGCATAGAAAGGAATGATGCTTCTTTTTAGTATGCATTGGATTTCAAACTTGATTTTAAAAGATGGATAAAGTGCACTTTTTTATGATGCTTTTCTCTTGAGTAGCATATTTCATTAAAAAAAAAAAACATTAATAGACATGTTGAAAAAATTTCTTATTTTTTCCATTGGATTCTTTAAAACATGGAAATGACAACTTTGTTTCACCCGTATGTATTTGAATAAAATATCTTCTCATTTATTCACAGGACTAACAGTCAGAGAACAGATTTTATCTGTCACATACTTGAAAAGACATTCTGTGGTCAGATTTTCTGTTCTGATTTGCAGCCAGGAATCCTTCAGTCTACACCAACTGGATCCTATTTAACACTGGCAGAGCTCCAAAGCCTCTACAAACATGTAACTCAGACTCTATCAGACTGACTTACCATTTTTTCAAAACATTTTATTGGGGTTTCTCCTTACCATTTGTTGACTCTAGAATGTCTGATTAAGCCCCACAACACATCAAAGTAGATTGTTTTTTGTAGTAGTTTTCTCTGAGGGGGACTTGAAAGTGGTTGTAAAACCAATTGTTTTTAATGGTTAGGAGATTTAGTTAAGTAGCCCCTTTCTTTTATTAAGAGCAAAGGTGTAAGTAAGCCCTAAGCCATCAGACAGCAATGCACATGAAAGTTTCAGACATATGCAAACTTGTGGGGATCGTTAGCTAAGCACAGAACTGCTGGTCAACCAGAATAAGTTTTGGGGGTTAATGCTAATTTTAATTGCTTCTATGCCCCCACCTCCCACTACATTTAGGGTGTTAGGTACTAACCTTTTGTGATCATTAAAACTTTAAAGAAAGTCTGAACTATATTAAAATTCTTTTTTTTTTCCTCTGATTTTCTGTTAAATACCTCCATTCTTTTGTCCATTTATTTTCTTTTCTCTAATAACGTCTGATAAACTTTTGCTTATAATTTTTTTGTTTATAACTTTTGTTTGTATATTTTCTTTTCTCTGATAATGTCTGTTAAACTTTTTATCATTAGGTAGCATTATGATATCTATTTATCATCTAGCTACATTTTTTATAGACCTTTGTGATCTTTGAGGATAGAATGTTTCTAAATTTGTCTTCCCCATAGTCATTCTACATTATATGGAAAAAGATGTATTCACTGAGTTACAAATGGAAATGTGTCTCTTTTAATGCCTGTCATCCTTGACTGGGACTGGGTAAATTTCATCCAGAACAGATATTTAGCTCTACCTTTACTTTCTTAAAAGGAGCTCTTGTGGTGGTTAAAACAGTTCTCCCTTGTCCTATAGAGTAACTATGAGTTAGAATGAACTCAATGGCAATAGATTTGGTTTTGCTTTTTGGTTATACTCTTTAAGGAAAAAAAGGAGCTCTGGTGGTGCAGTTACTAAGACATTTGACCGCCAACTGAAAGGTTGGTGGTTCAAACTCACCAGCTTGGAAGGAAGATGAGGCAATCTACGTATCTACTTCTGTGAAGATTTGCCTCCTCAGAAACCTAGAGGGGGTCACTATGAGTCAGAATTGACTGAATGGCAGTGGGTTTTTTTTTTTTTTTTTTTTTTGGTAGTGTGGTGGTTAAAACACTTCTACTCTGTCCTATGGGGGTCACTATGAATTGAAATGGACTAAAAGGCTTTGGGGGTGGAGCTACTTTCTTTAAGGTGCTCTGATGGTACAGTGGTTAAAGCATGTCCTTTGTAACCAAAAGGTTGGCAGTTCTTACCCATCAGTTGCTCTGCAGGAGAAAGATGAGGCAGTTTGCTTCCATCAAGATTTACAGCTTTGGAAACCCTATGGGGCAGTTCTACTCTGTACTATAAGTTTGCTGCGGGTAGGAATCAACTCAATGGCAGTGGATTTTACTCTCTTTGGAGTCCTTCAGTGATACAAATGGTTAATGCACTCAACTATTCATGTAAAAGTTGGATGTCTGAGTCCACACAGAGGCACCCTGAAAGAAGGTCCCAGTGATCTACTTCTGAAAAATCAGCCACTGGAAACCCTGTGGAGCACAGTTCTGCTCTGATGGAATCTCCATGAATCAGAGTTGACTCCATGGCAACTTGTTTTCTGTTCTTTTCTTTCTTTTTGTCTGTTTATTTTTGGTCAGTCTCTTTAAAATTAAAGACCTGGTGCAAACTAATGCTTGTCTGATTCTTGATCCTTAACGGAACATGAATAGCAATACTTACCTTCTTCCTACTTACTGCTCATTACCATTTTGTATATACTAATATCTTTGTTCTCTACAATTCTAATCATTTTGTGACAACCAAACACATACTCTTCAAAGACACACTCTGTGAGTAGAGCAAATAGATGTCATGTTAGTAGGGAAAACTATCTCTTGATGGACAACCCACTTTCCTATCACTGTCTATCATTAACACTGGGAGAAAAATACTTCTAAGATATATGAACATTTGCTTAGAAATAATGAGTGCATGTTGTTGTTGTTATGTGCTGTTGAGTCGTCTCCAACTCATAGCGACCCCTCCTTGGGTTTCTGAGGCAGTATCATACGGAAGTAGATTGCCCAAACTTCCTCCCGAGCAGTGGCTGGTGGGTTTGAACTGCCAACTTTCTGGTTAATAGTCAAGGGCCTTAAGCCCTACACCACCAGAGCTCCCCTAGTGAGCACATAGAATACATTAACTTTGAAACCAACATGTTGTGGTATGAAAATGGAGAATACTGATGTTTTATGAGATTTATTTTATAAAATAATTACGTATTCTATGTACTCATTGTGCAAAGAATACATAATTATTTTATAAAATAAATCTCATGAAATATCAGTATTCTCCATTTTCATTGTATAACATGTTGGCTTCAAAGTTAAGATGCTGAAACACATTAAAACAAAACAAAATTAAAAAAAAACAAACAAGCAAACAAACAAACAAAAAAAAAAACAGGAAAAGCTTTGTGTGCCCTAGCCCTGAACAGAATCTAGTTCTCTTCTAAGAGACAGTGCATTAGCTCCATCACACAGTGACAGGCTCGGAGTGTGCCTGTGATTCCCCCCATCATGGCACCAGTCACCTGCTGGTTCTCATTCAATTAAATAGGAGAGCCACAGGGAAATTGCTGCTGGCACAGCAATTTTCTGGATAAACTCAGCAGCTGCCACTGTGTGAGAGGCCGCATATGTTATACCTGATTTAATCCAGTGGAACAAACTAGAGTCTAAAGCTCACTGTTCTGCTAGAGGTGAAGCAAAATGCATACAACACACCTATATCTTATTACTCTGTGTATGAAGTATTCCAAATTTAAAGATTGTACCTCTTTCTTCTTAAGCATCAAAAGTAGGGCTGCTATGAACAGAAAGGAATTGATATTCTTATTTCTCAATGATTTTTGTATAAAACACAGGCAGGTGACTATGGGGGACAGTTCAGGTTTCAAATATGACAATCTAATATTTAGTCCCAAAGTTCATACAAGGACATATAAGCATATCAGAACAAATGTTCTGATTTTTGGTTTAAAAAATGTGACCATCTTATGAATTTTGATTTTAAATCATGCTAAAGCTGGAACTGCAGAGTGGTGCAAGAAAGGGCAGTTTTCATTTATTCATTATTCATTCAGCATTCATTGGACACCTCCTTTATATTATGTATAGAGCTAGAAACAGGGTAGAGAAATACATAGGACATGATCCTTGCCCCTGCTCAGCAGAAATGCAGTGCCTTGTGGAAATGTGTACATAGTACTCCAGCTCTGAAGAGAAAAATTATATAATATATAAATTGTGGAGAGTACACAAACTCAATGGAAAATAATGAAATGTAAGTCTTGATTTTATTTGTTCTGTGACAGTTAAAAACCACAATATTTATATCTAAGGCATTTGACTGCTAACTAGAAGCTGGTGGTTCAAACCCACCAGCCACTCTTCAGAAGGAAGATGGAGCAATCCAGCAATCCACTTCTGTAGTGATACTGCTTCGGAAACCCAAGGAAGGGTCGCTATGAGTTGGATCCGACTTGATGGCAGTTTTTTTTTTTTTTTTAATTAAAATTCTGTAGAATCTGTGTTTCCTCTTTTTCCCTCAATTTAGTCATATTATACCTTATGTGACTAGAGTAAGCCAGAAATGTAAATAAATAGACCAAGATTTGTAGAATGGGGGCCAGGGAAGGCTACTGGGAGGGCTCAGGAAAGGCTTCTGAAGAGGTCACCATTAAGCTGAATAGGGTTGAGTAGACTTATTAGCCAGGAAAGCAATGGGGGTGGATAGTTCATTTGGGGGATTATAAAAAGTCAAGACCATTCTTTCTAAGATATTTTTAAGGACTTTGTGAGCAGTTCCATGCCATGTTTATCGAGATATATGGCTTTCTATGCAGACATGGCCTACATTCAGAAAGCCATTATTGAGATATATCCTATAGGATGATTTGTGGAGAGTGAGGGAGGGGAAAACAGTGTTTGGGTTGGCTTCCAGATGATTTGAGTAGAGAGGATGATTAAATATTCAGTTTGGGTAGGTTAAAGCTGAACTCTGTGTGGAAACAGAGGAGACAATGCTCAGAGATGAAACTTTCCTGGTTTTCTGGATAGCAGAGGCCAAGTGAACTGAATGTCTCAAGATGCAAGTGAGCTCTTAAGACCCAGAGAAACCTATTGTGATACTTGGATTGCTGACTTTGTTCTGGAAGGTTTTATTTTTGTGTTGTTTGCTTGTTTGTGAAAGATGGACTTTTCACTTATCTTAGAAAATGAAAGCAAACTCAATTAGTTGCCATTGAGTCAATTCTGACTCATGGTAAGCCCATGTGTTACAGAGTAGAATTGTTGCACAGAGTTTTCTTGGCAGTAATTTTTACAGAAGCAGAGGGCCAGGCATTTCTTCTACAGGACCACTGGGTGAGTTTGAACTGCCCACCTTTAGCTTAGTAGCCAAGAGCAAACCATTTGTACCACTTAGGGACCCTGTATCAT